AATACTGTTTATCATGCAGTCCAATTTCAATTATTTTCAGTCAAGCTAGGATTTTGACTCTGTGATGAGTGTCTTCTTGACCGCTGCTAAAAAGTTGATTCTGTAAGAAGTGGCTACTTAAATAGCATGCATTTTTACCATTGATTTTGACTGCCTTTATAAATTCAAATAAGCATTCACGAAAAAAATCCTATTTTGTACTTATTTGATAGCAAATTACGCCTTCTTTAAATTTTATTCTTAAAGAGAGGGTTTCCTTCGGTTTTAAAAAAATTTCATATTTTGAGTTTTTCTACGAATGTGCGGTGTTCATTCATACTACATCGTATCCGTCAATTTATTAATGCTGTCCCTGATATATGCAGCATGATCAATGTCTATTGCGAAATTCTATGAGAGATATGCAAGCACTTCCTCAAACCGTAGGCAAGAACGTACTTTTCCTTAAATAGGATGAACACAGCATCCAGCTTGTAAAACATCAATTCAGTTCTAGCAGTCGGTAGGTTTCAAAATCATTCGGCAATTTAGCTACTTTTTTTAAACCGAAGGAAACCCTTCCTTTAAGAATATAATTTAAGAAAGGCGTAATTTGCTATCAAATAAGTACAAAAGAGGAGTTTTTCGTGCATGCTTTCCATAAAATATATTTGAATTTATGAAGGCAGTCAAACTCAATGAAAAAAATGCATACCATTTAAATAGCCATTTTTTTACAGAATCAAATTTTTTTGCAGCGTTCAGAAAGAAGCTTATCACAGAGTCGGCATCCTAGCATGACTGAAAATAACTGAAATTGGACCGCATGGTAAACAGTATTACAACCCTACTCAATGTTGATTTCGAGTGACTACCGGTCTTTTTCAAATTGCGGAATGTTCCTTGCAACAGTCGCCATTCTGTATATCTGGTCACATGGTGTGCCAAAGTACAAATGAAAGCTCTGCCGGGAATGAGAGCGATTCATCAGAAGATAATGAGTTAGTGAGTGCTTGTATGGCTTCCTCTGGCAAGATATGGGAAACAGAACCGCCGGTATTACAGGTGGCTTTGCGCTCAGTCAGGGAAATTGGCATTGGCACTAGCTGTAAGATGAGGGTTGAGGGTTAAGGTTTAAGGTTTAATTTAAAGTGATTTGACAGTGGCAGTGAATGATAAAGAGAAGTTAACTTTATTGTGAAGGTATCCTTTCTACTTTTGCAGCAAAAAAACTTCATTCACTGTGGATAAAAGTGGTTGGGCAAAAAAGATAAGACCGACAGGTCACAAACCATATGCAATAGCCGAAAATAGCGACCGCCTACAGCATGAAGAACCTTGAGCGAATGGGTCAAAATATTCTTGTGAGATGTTAAATCGTTCGAAACGGTGTGTTAGCGTCGTGAGCAGATGACCTCATTCTTGCATTTCAAGTAAACAAAGAAAGATGACGACTGGTATAAAATGATGGAACGATAGACCAGCAGATGTATACAAATAGGACAATTCTCATGCGAATCAGAGGCAGACAAAATTACACCTTATATGCATACATGGAATATTTACCGTTCGTGGTATCTAGGGCAAGATCATTTGTATTTACAAGGAGACGTTTCTAGTCCGGTGTCCTGTCCTGAAGGGGGGAGGGTATGTAAGCAATTTAAATGCCAAATTCATTTATCTTCTCAAAAGTATGCAAGCAGCCACAGGCTACGCAGTGAACACAAAGTTAAATGCCCCAACAATTGCACAGTTATCGCTACTTCCTACAGAAATACCGGGACAAAACCGGCCAGCCTATGGATTTTGCCGCTAGCTCCATGGCGTGTCAGTGGATAGTGGATACTTGGCACAAGGTTA